TATCTAGCCACCACTAATCCTGATGTCCCACTATCTAGCCACCACTAATCCTGATGTCCCACTATCTAGCCACCACTAATCCTGATGTCCAACTTTACATAACCACCACTAATCCTGATGTCCCACTTTACATAGCCACCACTAATCCTGATGTCCCACTATCTAGTCACCACTTATCCTGATGTCCCACTTTACATAGCTACCACTAATCCTGATGTCCCACTATCTAGTCACCACTAATCCTGATGTCCCACTATCTAGTCACCACTTATCCTGATGTCCCACTTTACATAGCTACCACTAATCCTGATGTCCCACTATCTAGTCACCACTAATCCTGATGTCCAACTTTACATAGCCACTACTAATCCTGAGGTCCCACTTTACATAGCCACCACTAATCCTGATGTCCCACTTTACATAGCCACCATTAATCCTAATGTCCCACTTTATATAGCCACCACTTATCCTGATGTCCAACTTTACATAGCCACCACTAATCCTGATGTCCCACTTTACATAGCCACCATTAATCCTGATGTCCCACTTTATATAGCCACCACTTATCCTGATGTCCCACTTTACATAGCCACCACTAATCCTGATGTCCCACTTTACATAGCCACCACTAATCCTGATGTCCAACTATCTAGCCACCACTAATCATGTTGTCCCACTTTACATAGCCACCACTTATCCTGATGTCCCACTTTACATAGCCACCACTAATCCTGATGTCCCAAGTATCTAGCCACAAGTCATCTTTTCATTTCATTACCCAATTTAGAAAAGGGAAAAAATCCTGATTTCCTCAAAACTCAGACCAATCAAAAAATTACTTTTTTAAATGTCTGTCATGTCTGCTGATCAAAATTCTTATTCTCAGCTAGATTGTAAGCATACGAGTAATTGATTTTTCAGTGACATTTTGGTCGTCTGCCTAATAACCCGAGGTTGGTGTCTGCTGTTCTGTCGCTGTGTTCTGGTTAATTCACCACTGTCTGAAGGTATTTCTCAAAGGTTAATTCTGCTCTGTTCTCAGTGCCTTGTGTTGAGGCGCTTGCTAATCAGTGGTAACAGAGGCCAGGCCATAACAGGACTGTCTTTATAAAGATTTTCCTTGGAATTACTTTTGGACCAATTTCCAACCTAAAGTGAAGCCAACTTTCCAAATTTTTGAAAGAATAACAACTTTTATCTTTTCATTACAACACAAAATGATCCTGCCAAAAACAATGAAGGGCATGTTTACTATTTGTTTTGAAACAATGAGTTCTCCACTAGATAAATGTACTCTTTGTGTTAATCTGACCATGATAATGAAGTTCACCTGAGGACATGTTTGTAGAGCTTACCTGTGGACATATGCTTGTAGAGCGTACCTGAGGACATATGTTTGTAGAGCTTACCTAAGGACATATGTTTGTAGAGCTTACCTGAGAGCATATGTTTGTAAAGCTTACCTGAGGACATATGTTTGTAGAGCTTACCTGAGGACATGTTTGTAGAGCTTACCTGTGGACATATGCTTGTAGAGCTTACCTGAGTACATATGTTTGTAGAGCTTACCTGAGGCCATATGTTTGTAGAGCTAACCTGAGGCCATATGTTTGTAGAGCTTACCTGAGGCCATATGTTTGTAGAGCTTACCTGAGGCCATATGTTTGTAGAGCTTACCTGAGGCCATATGTTTGTAGAGCTTACCTGAGGACATATGTTTGTAGAGCTTACCTGAGGACATATGTTTGTAGAGCTTACCTGAGGGCATATGTTTGTAGAGCTTACCTGAGGACATGTTTGTAGAGCTTACCTGTGGACATATGCTTGTAGAGCTTACCTGAGGACATATGTTTGTAGAGCTTACCTGAGGCCATATGTTTGTAGAGCTTACCTGAGGCCATATGTTTGTAGAGCTTACCTGAGGCCATATGTTTGTAGAGCTTACCTGAGGCCATATGTTTGTAGAGCTTACCTGTGGCCATATGTTTGTAGAGCTTACCTGAGGCCATATGTTTGTAGAGCTTACCTGAGGCCATATGTTTGTAGAGTTTACCTGAGGACATATTTTGTAGAGCTTACCTGAGGACATATGTTTGAAGAGCTTACCTGAGGGCATGGAGACAGTAAATTGTTCTAGGCATATTCTTCCTATCGTAGATATCTGTAGTCTCAGGATAAAATATCTGAAAAGGAAATTGCACATGAAATATTTAAGGTAGAGAGGAAATGAGAATCAAGCCAAATGATGAACAGATTAGCTGTTACATCCAACACAATACCTATCCAATCAGGTATCAAATATGTCAACCTCGAGGCTGAAACAGATCTACATCAGGCTCTGCGCTCTAAAATATAAAACATCCTACATATCTAGAGAACAAACAGCATTTGTTGTTCCAGGATAACACATCTGAAAAAACATATATCTCGTACAAATCATCATAATACCATATCACAGCTCATAATACTGCATTACAACTCATCGTACAGTGACTGTATTACAACTCATCATACTGTGAATGTATTACAACTCATCATACAGTGACTGTATTACAACTCATCGTACAGTGACTGTATTACAACTCATCATACTGTGAATGTATTACAACTCATCATACAGTGACTGTATTACAACTCATCATACAGTGACTGTATTACAACTCATCATACAGTGACTGTATTACAACTCATCATACAGTGACTGTATTACAACTCATCATACAGTGACTGTATTACAACTCATCATACAGTGACTGTATTACAACTCATCATACAGTGACTGTATTACAACTCATCATACAGTGACTGTATTACAACTCATCATACAGTGACTGTATTACAACTCATCATACAGTGACTGTATTACAACTCATCATACAGTGACTGTATTACAACTCATCATACAGTGACTGTATTACAACTCATCATACAGTGACTGTATTACAACTCATCATACAGTGACTGTATTACAACTCATCATACAGTGACTGTATTACAACTCATCATACAGTGACTGTATTACAACTCATCATACAGTGACTGTATTACAACTCATCATACAGTGACTGTATTACAACTCATCATACAGTGACTGTATTACAACTCATCATACAGTGACTGTATTACAACTCATCATACAGTGACTGTATTACAACTCATCATACAGTGACTGTATTACAACTCATCATACAGTGACTGTATTACAACTCATCATACAGTGACTGTATTACAACTCATCATACAGTGACTGTATTACAACTCATCATACAGTGACTGTATTACAACTCATCATACAGTGACTGTATTACAACTCATCATACAGTGACTGTATTACAACTCATCATACAGTGACTGTATTACAACTCATCATACAGTGACTGTATTACAACTCATCATACAGTGACTGTATTACAACTCATCATACAGTGACTGTATTACAACTCATCATACAGTGACTGTATTACAACTCATCATACAGTGACTGTATTACAACTCATCATACAGTGACCATATTACAACTCATCATACAGTGACTGTATTACAACTCATCGTACAGTGACTGTTTTACAACTCATCGTACAGTGACTGTTTTACAACTCATCATACAGTGACTGTATTACAACTCATCATACAGTGACAAAACAGACTTGGATAGAAGAACAATGATTTGACTTTGATTTCAAAGTACAGACTTCATTGGAATAAGATGTTCTACTTAACGCCTGTTTTTGTTACATCAGTCTCATACGAGATTGGAAAGCCTTTAATGAGATATCGTAGATTGTATTACAGGATAAAACAGGGTTACAGCCGACACTTGAGGTGATCAGTACACACACCCGAATCCGAGTGCTGAATGTTTGATTCTGTGTGCAATGCTTGTGATTGTAAACCCTTAAAACCACCAAATAATCAATAGCACAACTTCAACCAATGTTCACTTCTTAAAACTCGTTACCACGCTGAAATGTCACCAGTTAACATGTTAATAGCAGACACTCAATAATGCATACACATTTAATTGTTTCCAAGTATTGCAATTTAAAATTAAACACCACTAAACTAGAAAAAACTCCCTCATACATTAAACCCCCTCCCCAGCCCATTTGTTGTATAGTTGTTCGACACAATTACTATAAACAGTAAAAGTGACCTTGTCTATGACCTTGGAACCTTGCACCTTTATCTTGCTATGATTGGTGCTGGTGGTGACAGTTATTTTACTAATATTGTTGTCAAGGGAGATTGCTGTCTTGCTATAAGTGTTGTAAGGATGACGACCATTATCAGGCTTTAATTGTTGCCAGGGGTGACTGATATCTTGTAATAACTGCCGTCTGGGATTACACTTATTTTAAACTCTGTATACTGGAATTGATACTTTATATTTATGGTGCTAACAATTTTTTTACTTGATTTTTTTTAAAGTAAACTTTCCTCTCCAGAAAGTTGCTATATAAATACACCTTAACATGAATCCTATTAACAAGTTAACAACAACACATTCTATAAACAAGTTAACAACAACACATTCTATTAACAAGTTAACAAGAACACATTCTATTAACAAGTTAACAACAACATGTTCTATTAACAAGTTAACAAGAACACGTTCTATTAACAAGTTAACAACAACACATTCTATTAACAAGTTAACAACACATTCTATTAACAAGTTAACAACAACACGTTCTATTAACAAGTTAACAACAACAAGTTCTATTAACAAGTTAACAACAACACATTCTATTAACATAAAACTTTTCTCAATGTGATGGAAACACTAAAGCACAAGATACATTATCATACACAATTTCTCAATCTAATGGAAATCAAACCAATGGTTTCCTGTTTTGTTTCCATTAACATCAAGTGTTTCATAAAGACATGCATCTGTTGTTGCCTGGGCCCATTAGTATAGTGATATACCCTTAAAACAGGAGTTTATGTGACACAGAATAAAGTTGTTTGCGTAAGGAGAAAGGACACTGGTATACAGTCAGCATCTTCTATAACACAATAAAATGTCTTCTTTCCCACAACATCTACCGTATTTGACCGTAAATAAGCCCCCTCCCCACTTTGTCTAGTTCCATTGCTCTATAGATATTCTCTAGTATCTATTTAAGGCAGTTTATTGTTTGGTTTCCCGTAGGCGGCTGAGGTTTGACTCCACGTGAAAGGTATGGGGTCACCTGACTGACCATGTGGGGTTTTTTCCTGGGTACTCCAGTTTCCTCCCACATTAAGACCCCCCATAAGCTAACATCTGGGCCAACAAGAGTGATTAATAAAAGCTGAAACAAGGCATCACAAGTGATACAAATTCCCTCACATTCACAAGTTGAGGAATGAAGTCAATAGATTGATGACAAAGTTTTTTCTAAAAATAGTAAGTGACCTTTAATGCAGTAACCCGAAATGTGGGCTTGTTCAATATTGTCATACCAAACACTTGTATCAAGTTTTATGAAATTCCATTGAAGAATGAAGTCGGTAGAGCGATGACAAAGAGTGTTACAGGCTGAATCCTGTATCTCCTCGAACTATCATCGTGAGGGGGTAATAACGGTTTCATAATTATTGTAAATAAACAAAGTTAGTATCTATATATAATCATAGCGATTGGCAATAGCCGAAGTAGCGGTGATGTCATATTGATAGAGAAATAGCCCTGGTATCGGTGGTGTCCTGTGATATCTAGGGTCACGCTACGTCTACATGTTAACAGGAAGTGAACACTTAATGACATTCGCAGCTACAATGTACCGTCAGGAATATTAACCAGACGTCCTTACATTTATACTGACAATAAAACCAGTTTTATGGTGAGTTATATAACACTTCCAGTCTCTGGCCCCTAGATGATAAAGTATTGGGACTTTGTTCATAAACACTCTATATAGTTAGAGGATGCTGCCGACTCTGGCCCCTAGATGATAAAGTATTGAGACTTTGTTCATAAACACCCTATATAGTTAGAGGATGCTGACGACTCTGGACCCTAGATGATAAAGTCTTGGGACTTTGTTCATAAACTCCCTATATAGTTAGAGAATGCTGACGACTCTGGACCCTAGATGATAAAGTATTGGGACTTTGTTCATAAGCACTCTATATAGTTAGAGGATGCTGCCGACTCTGGCCCCTAGATGATAAAGTATTGGGTCTTTGTTCATAAACACCCTATATAGTTAGAGAATGCTGACAACTCTGGACCCTAGATGATAAAGTATTGGGACTTTGTTCATAAACATTCTATATAGTTAGAGGATGCTGCCGACTCTGGCCCCTAGATAATAAAGTATTGAGACTTTGTTCATAAACACCCTATATAGCTAGAGGATGCTGACGACTCTGGCCCCTAGATGATAAAGTATTGGGTCTTTGTTCATAAACACCCTATATAGTTAGAGGATGCTGTCGAATCTGGCCCCTAGATGATAAAGTATTGGGACTTTGTTCATATAAACACCCTATATAGTTAGAGGATGCTGACGCCTCTGGCCCCTAGATGATAAAGTATTGAGACGTTGTTCATAAACACCCTATATAGTTATATAACACTTCCAGTCTCTGGCCCCTAGATGATAAAGTATTGGGACTTTGTTCATATAAACACCCTATATAGTTAGAGGATGCTGACTACTCTGGCCCCTAGATGATAAAGTATTGAGACGTTGTTCATAAACACCCTATATAGTTAGAGGATGCTGACGACTATGGCCCCTAGATGATAAAGAATTGGGACTTTGGTCATAAACACCCTATATAGTTAGAGGATGCTGACGACTATGGCCCCTAGATGATAAAGAATTGGGACTTTGGTCATAAACACCCTATATAGTTAGAGGATGCTGCCGACTCTGGCCCCTAGATGATAAAGTATTTGGGCTTTGTTCATAAACACTCTATATAGTTAGAGGATGCTGACGACTCTGGCCCCTAGTAATTAAGTATTGGGACTTTGTTCATAAACACCCTATATACCTGATAGTTAGAGGATGCTGACGACTCTGGCCCCTAGATGATAAAGGATTGAGACTTTGTTCATAAACACCCTATATAGTTAGGGGATGCTGACGACTCTGGCCCCTAGATGATAAAGAATTGGGACTTTGGTCATAAACACCCTATATAGTTAGAGGATGCTGCCGACTCTGGCCCCTAGATGATAAAGTATTTGGACTTTGTTCATAAACACTCTATATAGTTAGAGGATGCTGACGAATCTGGCCCCTAATAATAAAGTATTAGGACTTTGTTCATAAACACCCTATATAGTTAGGGGATGCTGACGACTCTGGCCCCTAGATGATAAAGTATTCGGACTTTGTTCATAAACACTCTATATAGTTAGAGGATGCTGACGACTCTGGCCCCTAGTAATTAAGGATTGGGACTTTGTTCATAAACACCCTATATAGCTAGAGGATGCTGACGACTCTGGCCCCTAGATGATAAAGTATTGAGACTTTGTTCATAAACACCCTATATAGTTAGAGAATGCTGACGACTCTGGACCCTAGATGATAAAGTATTGGGACTTTGTTCATAAACACCCTATATAGTTAGAGCTAGATGATAAAGTATTGGGACTTTGTTCATAAACACCCTATATAGTTAGAGCTAGATGATAAAGTATTGGGACTTTGTTCATAAACACCCTATATCCCTGGTAGTTAGAGGATGCTGACGACTCTGGCCCCTAGTAATAAAGTATTAGGACATTGTTCATAAACACCCTATATAGTTAGAGGATGCTGACGAATCTGGACCCTAGATGATAAAGTATTGGGACTTTTTTTATGGCACTGATCATCAATTTTTCTGATTAGAAACAAATTTGTTTCTTCTCATCAGTTTATTTAACTCCTGAAATCATTCCAGAAATCCAAGTAATTAAACAGGGTCCTAGAATTAGCTCCACAAACACCTGCAGTTATACACACCTGTGGAAGGCTAATTAACACCTGTTATACACACCTGTGGAAGGCTTTATAATTAACACCTGTTATACACACCTGTGGAAGGCCAATTTTCTCCATAGCTGAGAACCAGTGGTTGATGTTGTCTGTGTGTCGGAAATGTAATCCTCGGGACTGGTAAAAAAAACACATAAAAACAATAACATTAATATTCTAACATGGATACACATATACCAAACAGTATATCATTATACCCCTATATAGTTCTCTGTAAACCTCTTGCAGGAGCAGTTCTACGATAGACCAGGTTTTTATCACCCCCTTATATAAGTCCCTTCAATGGACCCATTCCCAATTTAAAACAGATTCCTTTTTGTCTAGATAAATTCCCTGTTTAAGAAACAAAGAATTTGTTTTAAATTTGTTTGTATAAGTTTTCGGTGATTTATTAACGACATACAGTAAATAAAGTAACAACACAATAAAATAATACATTATAGGAGTGTCACAATACGACAAGAGTGTATCCCGATATATTGAAATACAGATTGAATATATTGCGATACGTATCCCGATATACTAGCTGTCATAGGGAAGATGTGCCCGATTTAATAACAAGTTGTTGTCAGAATGTTATCAAACTTAATCATATATAACATGGATCATACAGACTTAAGATTTTGTCAAATCAACCATCAATTACAAAATTAGAATTAATTCCCGCCACTATTAAAAGCCTGTTTTATGCTTACGTATACTGGCATATCTGTTAGAATTTGTAGTAATTTGCAAAGTTAAAACACCAAGTAGAATGAGATACATGAAGTAAGTTTACAAAAAAAATATTGCGATACAGCAATATCTCATCTCTGTATTTTGGTACAATACGATATACCCGTGTATTGCGATATACCTGTTTTCCGATATATTGTAACAGCCCTAATACATTCAGTTTCACAACTGAAACGCTTGAAAATTCACAATTTAGAGCAAAAAATACAGATAAAGTAATAGATATGTCTATGTCATGGACAAGTTTGATAGTAGTGTAACAAAACAATTGGTGAATGCAGTGTAAAGCAACAGATGATGTACTGAACCTCCAGCCAAAAGGCTGTCATTAACCAGTAGGTTCGGGTCACCAGTTGTCCTCAACCCTAGTCAATAACTGTATTCCACCATTACATACTGGTTCTAAATACAATGTTTATTGTTGAAATTATTACTACCTGACTGGGCAATAAACTACCTATTCTTTAAACAATATGTCAGTACCTTGTTTTACAGTGACAATAGGCATCAGATTAATTTTAACTACCTCCAGCAGTGTTCCCATTCATTTTTCTACCTTGGGGTTTCCGTACCCACAAAGGTTTGCAAAATTTTGTGCTTGATAATTTGATAGTGCCAGGACAGAACGCAAGGATGACTTCATGTCAAGGACACTTATTGCATCCATTCTGTAAAATGTGATGTATGTTGACCGTTAACGTATTCCTCATTTTGCTTAGCGAGTAGGCATTCTTTAATACACTGATGAAGTCACAGGACTGACATTTGGCAGTTTGTTGTGCCTGCTACGAAGCAAGAAGATGATGATTTAATTTCTTTGTGATGACTTATCTTGATGCATGAAAATAAAGAACATACTTTTTTGTTGATATGATTCAGACTGATCATCAAGCCTCAAACAATAACATTTCTCAAGCCATTTGGTTGATTTTTTTTTTTTTAGATTATGTTTTGTGTTGGACAGTTTCTGAAGTGTTTATTCCTCAAGGCTTTCATACGTCAGCGCCGTCTGTTTGATTTGCCGCTGCATTGGGAGTTTTGGCCAGCTGAAAAATCCTGATAACATAGTTTAATGCTTCGACATTTTGTTAATGTTGCCAAATATTTTTGGTCGTCAAACGCTTAACCATCCGGGCAAGTGGGACTTTAAATGATATACATATTAATCCAGGCAAGTGGGACTTTAAATTAAATGATATACACATTAATCCAGGCAAGTGGGACTTTAAATGATACACATATTAATCCAGGCAAGTGGGACTTTAAATGATATACATATTAATCCAGGCCAGTGGGACTTTAAATGATATACATATTAATCCATGCAAGTGGGACTTTAAATGATATACATATTAATCCAGGCCAGTGGGACTTTAAATGATATACATATTAATCCAGGCCAGTGGGACTTTAAATGATATACATATTAATCCATGCAAGTGGGACTTTAAATGATATACATATTAATCCATGCAAGTGGGACTTTAAATGATATACATATTAATCAAGGCAAGTGGGACTTTAAATGATATACATATTAATCCAGGCCAGTGGGACTTTAAATGATATACATATTAATCCATGCAAGTGGGACTTTAAATGATATACATATTAATACAGGCACGTGGGACTTTAAATGATATACATATTAATACAGGCACGTGGGACTTTAAATGATATACATATTAATACAGGCAAGTGGGACTTTAAATGATATACATATTAATCAAGGCAAGTGGGACTTTAAATGATATACATATTAATACAGGCAAGTGGGACTTTAAATGATATACATATTACTCCAGGCAAATGGGACTTTAAATGATATACATATTATTCCAGGCAAGTGGGACTTTAAATGATATACATATTAATCCATGCAAGTGGGACTTTAAATGATATACATATTAATCCAGGCCAGTGGGACTTTAAATGATATACATATTAATCCAGGCCAGTGGGACTTTAAATGATATACATATTAATCCAGGCCAGTGGGACTTTAAATGATATACATATTAATCCATGCAAGTGGGACTTTAAATGATATACATATTAATCAAGGCAAGTGGGACTTTAAATGATATACATATTAATCCATGCAAGTGGGACTTTAAATGATATACATATTAATCCAGGCCAGTGGGACTTTAAATGATATACATATTAATCCATGCAAGTGGGACTTTAAATGATATACATATTAATACAGGCAAGTGGGACTTTAAATGATATACATATTAATCCAGGCCAGTGGGACTTTAAATGATATACATATTAATCCATGCAAGTGGGACTTTAAATGATATACATATTAATCAAGGCAAGTGGGACTTTAAATGATATACATATTACTCCAGGCAAGTGGAACTTTAAATGATTCACATATTAATCCAGGCAAGTGGGACTTTAAAGGATATACATATTACTCCAGGCAAGTGGGACGTTAAATGATATACATATTACTCCAGGCAAGTGGGACTTTAAATGATATACGTATTAATCCAGGCAAGTGGGACTTTAAATGATACACATATTAAGTGTTTGGATGAGCAAGACTACCTGCTGACAAAGTGGGGAACCCCACTACCTTTGGTTTTGGCTTTGACTAGTTTCTTGCCTTTTGTAAAGGGACATTTTGTTGGGGTTGAATGTAAAATTCTTTTGAGAACATTTTTACATTCAACGGCACAAAAATTACAATGCGTGCAAGTCATATAAGGTAGTAAAAATCTGTGCATGTTTTTTTTAGAATATCTGTGAATCATGCATATTTCATGTTTTTCTTGTCCAAACATTGAGTTTAGACAATCTCAAATATAGATCACAGAAGGTTTTTAGGTTGGGTAGATCACAGAAGGTTTTTAGGTTGGGTAGATCACAGATGGTTTTAGGTTGGGTAGATCACAGAAGGTTTTAGGTTTGGTAGATCACAGAAGGTTTTTAGGTTGGGTAGATCACAGATGGTTTTAGGTTTGGTAGATCACAGAAGGTTTTTAGGTTGGGTAGATCACAGAAGGTTTTAGGTTGGGTAGATCACAGATGGTTTTAGGTTTGGTAGATCACAGATGGTTTTAGGTTTAGTAGATCACAGAAGGTTTTTAGATTTGGTAGATCACAGATGGTTTTAGGTTTAGTAGATCACAGATGGTTTTAGGTTTGGTAGATCACAGATGGCTTTAGGTTTGGTAGATCACGGAAGGTTTTAGGTTTGGTAGATCACAGAAGGTTTTTAGGTTTGGTAGATCACAGAAGGTTTTAGGTTTGGTAGATCACAGAAGGTTTTTAGGTTTGGTAGATCACAGAAGGTTTTAGGTTTAGTAGATCACAGAAGGTTTTTAGGTTTGGTAGATCACAGATGGTTTTAGGTTTGGTAGATCACAGATGGTTTTAGGTTTGGTAGATCACAGATGGTTTTAGGTTTGGTAGATCACAGATGGTTTTAGGTTTGGTAGATCACAGAAGGTTTTAGGTTTGGTAGATCACAGATGGTTTTAGGTTTGGTAGATCACAGAAGGTTTTAGGTTGGGTAGATCACAGAAGGTTTTAGGTTGGGTAGATCACAGAAGGTTTTAGGTTTGGTAGATCACAGAAGATAAATTTTATGTTTGGTAGATCACAGAAGAAGGGTTTTAGGTTTGGTATTTTTCATTTCACTAAAAATCTGTCCGTTGGTTTTGGGTTCGACATCTTTTTAACCGTTAACATTATATAGATTCAGCTATACCAGGTATTAACGTCACAGACTAAATCAACATTGAAATGTAATACTTCTGTGTATGGTAATGTTTGGGTCCAAGAGATTGTACTTTTAGACACTTTTGTACCCATGATATCGACAACATCAGCTGATAAAGATATCGACGACATCAGCTGATAAAGATATCGTAACACAACAGCTCTCAGGGTCTCCTCCTTTTTAAGTCAATCATGGGTTTGTATTTTATCGTCATATTACCACACATTGTTCAAAATTTTCATCCATTTTGTTTTCTCTGGTCTTAATATGACTCAGCAAAATCCAACGATCACTCATTTTTTTGCAGTGACTTGATGCGGTATCGACATGCATGTGAGTAGCCACAGACCTGTGATGCTGGAGTTGGCCAAGACATGTGCATCATGTCAGACTATCGGTGAAAAAAGCCAGCATTGGAGATTAATGGCCGGTCTCTAGTGGCATCGCTTGTCTACAGCAATCAACAAAGATCCCAACATTCAGTGTACGGCTGCCAAGTACTGTCCGAAATATCAAAGTCATGAAAATTGAAAGGTTCCTGAAGGACCATACAACTTTGCCAATATTTTGGACTAGACACTGCTTCTGTGACGAAAACAATAACTAGCTAACTTCGGCCATGCCTTAATGAAGGTCTGGTGTGTGAACATGTGGAGTTGCATGTTAAATATAATCAATCGAGGAACTTGCCTGCTTCTTTTGGAAAATGGGTGGCTTATTTGCAAGGAGCAGAACAACAAGGTATAGAATGCTATACAGGGGTCCCTTTATGAAAAAAAACCAGAATTAAAGGTAATGATCTTTGGGCTGTTCTATGTCAGTTTTCATTGGTGCTACCTAGCACTATTCTTTGTCATTTTTCATTGGTGCTACGTAGCACTATTCTTTGTCTGTTCTCACTGTTGCCATATCGGCTATTCTTTGTCAGTTTTCACTGTTGCCATATTGGCTTTTCTTTGTCAGTTTTCACTGTTGCCATATCGGCTATTCTTTGTCAGTTCTCACTGTTGCCATATCGGCTATTCTTTGTCAGTTCTCACTGTTGCCATATCGGCTATTCTTTGTCAATCGTGCCATCTTGGGCTGTTATGTCAATTGTTATAATGGTGTCATCTGGGACTCCACTTTTCACTGGTGCCATCATTTAGACAATTTTCTCCTTCTTTCCTCCTATTTCTGATTATTTAAATGTTCTGTATTCAAAGCAAGTTATTACAGTTATTTCATTAAAATACTGAGGTGTAATCCTCGTTTCCTTTGAGGGCTGAGTGTGATGTGATTAGCGAGGGATGACTCGCTTTGTAGCGTGATTAGTGAACTCTGTGTCGATAACACAGATAGATCACACCAACAAATTGATGTTACCAGTTGCCCCGTGCTTTGTGTCTGTGGAGTTAAACAGCACCTTACCAGGGTCGGCGTTTTTTAAAGTTACGTTTCACACTTTTGTCTGTCACATATATGTACTTTTCCCCAAGGTATGAGGAACGCAAGATTCTGTTTATCGCATAACAACGATATGATATCTATTTTAATTGATACCAATACCTGAAGCATAAATAGATTGAGGATTATGCAGTATCAAAATTAAGCAAAACGTTTGTGTTAATACCTGAAATCTTGTTTGTTCTCTGTCATATATCTTTTTGAGGGGCACAATCTGGGGGTTCAAAAAGTGTCCCAGTTTTGCCAAAAACACGCCATTCCGTAAGCCTTCTTCAAGTTCTGTAGTTGGAGGAAGTTCCTCGTTAATACAAGCAGCCATCCATCTGTAAATACACAAAACATACATATAGGTTAGCTGAATTATAATTCATCTTATTTTCAAAGGTAATGTAAAATTAATGTAACTTTTGTTTTTGCATTTCTCAACAATAGAGCCGCAAGCTACATGTGGCAGCACATCCTATGACAGGTAAAAACAATATTCTGTTTGCAGTGATGACTTTTGCACCAATCAGGACCTGGATACCATCCATTATTGCCCAATAAGGACATGGAAACCATCTGTGACTGACCAATCACAGGACCTGAAAACAATCTGTGACTGACCAATTAGGACCTGGAAACCATCTATTATTGACCAATCAGGACCTTTAAACCATCTGTGACTGACCAATCAGGACCTGGAAACCATCTGTGACTGACCAATCAGGACCTGGAAACCATCCGTTATAGACCAATCAGGACCTGGAAACCATCCGTAATTGACCAATCAGGACCTGGAAACCATCCGTTATGGACCAATCAGGACCTGGAAACCATCTGTTATTGACCAATCAGGACCTGGAAACCATCCATTATTGACCAATCAGGACCTGGAAACCATCCGTTATGGATCAATCAGGACCTGGAAACCATCCGTTATTGACCAATCAGGACCTGGAAACCATCCATTATTGACCAATCTTGACCTGGAAATCATATGTGACTGACCAATCAGGACCTGGAAACCATCCATTATTGACCAATCAGGACTTGGAAACCATCCATTATCGAACAAATCAGAGATAAAGGACTTGGAGACCATCAATGATTGACCAATCAGGGTATGAAGTGATGATCAGTACAGTACTGCCATATCTCCTATGGTGATGTGAGCACAGGACAAAGTAACAAGATCGTACAATTAACCTAGTAGAACTGTGATCGAGTAATCAGTCTATTGTAATGACACCAATGTTATTGTAAAATATGCAGATTTCTAGGCATGAGAAACCTGCTGTGTGGTAAAGTATGGCTGGCAAACTTAATTATCCAAATAGCATTCCCCCTGATTTGGTCTGTGAGTGACATTCGTATGATGAAAGGCAGTGTTGTCTCCCAGCAGTGATGTATTTGTACTTTTAGAAGAGATAACAATTATCTACTGACGGACACTCTCTATCAGAATCGGGGTACACTGGGTCATTGCGTATCGATACCTAATTAATCACAGACGTTACGATCCTCGATATATTCACTGAACATCTATAAACTGCAGTCATACATTGCACATCATTGTACTGATTACATTTACATCACCACCTACTTAAAACAAGAGGTAAGGAGGGCCTGTATAACCTGCCTGTTTTGTTAGCAGGATGTAATGAATATGTTTCAACCAATCTAAGCCCTTGCTGGCCATGTCCATCCTGTTCATCTTATTGACCAACCAATTATTTACAGTAAAACCCCACTTTCTCGAACTTGGTTTACTCGAAACCCCTCATTCGTCCAACAGTTAGTTTGGTCACGACCAAGTTCGTACATCTTCTTTTTAAAGTAACCGTTATTCCGTTATTCCTCGAATACCCCGTATTCCTTGAACACAAATGTGTCCCCGACTCTTTATGGTCATAGTATTAATCCTTTTAATGTCATTTACTTTCTTAATACCGGTGGCTATGTATGTTTTCATTGTTCAGCTATTTTGAATCTTATTAAATGCTGTTGTCTTAATTAAACTTCTTTTTTCTTCAATCATCTGCTATCCGCGATAGTTGCAGTGCCTGTACTGTCTGTTGTCCCACCTGATAAAAAATATTAATGTCGGTCAAACCTCGGATTCGTTGAATACCATGTATCCCTCCAACTATTGATCTCGACCCTACAACTTCGAGTAAACAGGGTTTTACTGTACAATAATAACACTTACTTCGGCAAAGTTTCCATGGAAGTTGAGATTAAGTCATGAATTTTTCAACCTATAAGAAATCAAGGTAGCTATTTTGGATAAAAAAGTACAAACCCTTATTCAGGATCATGATATAGGATAGTAATAATATTAATTTTGGTCATAAACCATGACAGCCATCTTTGAATAGCGACTGATCTTAAAGTGATCAGATATAAACAGTAACTAGTTGAGGCCATGAAAGCGTCATTTATATGAAGTATGTTAAAATTGGCTTAATTAAAAATGTTGAGAAAAGTTCAACCAATCTTAGACCAAGCTTAATTATCATCTAGGGTTTCAAATCAGCTCAATACCTATCAACACTTGATCAGAGATTACAATTTACAAGTTAGGTTTGTTAAAACAGGTCTGGTGGAATTAAGAACTTGAAAATGTCCTTGCCCATATTCCCGAATTTGGCTGAAAATGTCTTTGTCCGTATTCCTCAATTTGGCTCTGGTCTCTCGAGCTCTATCTTCAAGGGGGCTACATCTTGCAGTTACCAGACATTAATCAGCTCCCCCAGAATGCTTTATACTAAATAAGTTGATTTATGATAAGCTGTTCTTAAGGAGTAGTCTTGTGAAGAAATACTCCTATTGGGCCCTTATCCATTATACTTAAGGTGTCCAACTATTAATTTGACCAAATTAACCTCCCTAGGCCAAGGGATATTTCACTAACTTTAATCAATACTGTCCACAGGTATTTAAGGAATAGTCTGAATTTCTCATGTATCCTCCCAACCCTCGTTACACGACATCCGGAAGATTCTTTTTTCTACAGTAACCAATGATAAATGAATTCTGAACAGTGCATACACTACGTTGCTCCGAGCTCATAGCTGTGCTAGTCCCAATAAACTGAGAAACCCAATTTAAATGTGCCAAGAAATGCATTCCCTACAGAAATGATGTTATGTAAGAATAACAAATGTGGAATATCAAGGTGTAACTCTTAACTGAAATTAAATTATCAATTTCAACTGACTCTCTGGAGAAATGTCTCGGGGAAATTCGAAACATTTCAAAAGTGTATCACTCAGTTAATCAGGACCAGGTTTCAGAGATCCTTTCATGCCATGAAATAGTATCTAATACAGCAAACACACCGAACTTTACTCGCAGTAAAGCAGTGCGGGTAAAACATAGCTCCAAAAACACAACATTTAGATCAAAAACAATCACCCAAACAGAACCAACTGCACCCTTCACACTACTCACCGAACTGGACGACTGCCTCCTAACACTACTCACCAAACTGGACGACTGCCTCCTTACACTACTCACCGAACTGGACGACTGACTCCTAACACCAACACCAAACTGGACGACTGCTTCCTCACACTACACACCAAACTGGACGACTGCCTCCTAACACTACACACCGAACTGGACGACTGCCTCCTAACACTACTCACCGACCTGGACGACTGTCTCCTAACACTACTCACCGAACTGGACGACTGCCTCATAACACTAAACACCAAACTGGATGACTGCCTCCTAACACCAACACCAAACTGGACGACTGCCTCCTAACACCAACACCAAACTGGAAGACTGCCTCCTAACATTACACACCAAACTGGACGACTGCCTCCTAACACTAGGCACCAAACTGGACGACTGCCTCCTAACACTACTCACCGAACTGGACGACTGCCTCCTAACACTACTTACCAAACTGGACGACTGCCTCCTTACACTACTCACCGAACTGGACGACTGCCTCCTAACACTACACACCGAACTGGATGACTGCCTCCTAACACTAAACACCAAACTGGATTACTGCCTCCTAACACTACTCACCGAACTGGACGACTGCCTCCTAACACTACTCACCGAACTGGACGACTGCCTCCTAACACTACTCACC